TAGGAAGAATGTACGCAATGTGTTAATTACTGAAACTGTCCTACCAATTTGGTTTGAAACTGTCTCATTGCTATTTGTTTCTCAATAAAATTATGGGAAAAAAAAAGCATTTATTCCATCTTAAGAGTTCTCAAAGCCCTAACATTTTCAGCATTGCTGAAAAAAATCCAATTCCCAAGTGTCCTTTGAGATTTAAGGTAAACTAACTGTGAGCTCCTGAAAAGATGAAAAGAAAGTTAAATGCTTCCAAATACAATGGCACAAGATAGATGGTCCCATTTCAAAAGTTACAAACAGAGATGCAAAGGAATGGGACCAAAGCAAGTCCAAAATCCATGGGCAGACATTAAGTCCTGTAGTTCCATGTGCAGCATCCAAGGCAATCTGCAGCAAGATGTAAACTCCAAAAGGCTTGGGTGACTCTGTACTTACAGCACTTCCTAGTGATAGTAGCTCCCATGGCTTAACTCTTCAGTCTACTCTGCACCTTCCTTGTAGTTTTCCTCAGATAATCCACATTCTTGGCTTCTCCAAACTTCTGGGGTCTCCACTGTACCTTTTGCTTCACATTCAGCTTCATACACTGCCTTCTCAGGGGCACACTGCCTGGGCTTCCAAGCCTCCTGGAATCAGGGTGAAAGCCTTTCTGACACCACAACTCTTCTATTCTGCATGCACCTAAAACCAGTGCCGTGTGGATGATGCCATAGTCTCCTGCCATCTGGTGCAATATCGAAGCTTCCTTCTCTCTTGACTGTAGGGGTCAAGTGCCTTAATTGCTGAGCACTCTTGAGTCCAATTCTGAGGAACAAATTCTCTTGTGTTGCTCCCAATCTGGAACGTGGTCTGCTGGGGCTTTCTTCTCAAAGCAAAGTCTCACTTTTGCAATGTTGAGGCTGCAAAGGGTTTAGTCCTTCTGCTTCTTGTTATGCCCTCAAGCCACCTTTTGTATTCTCCTATTCCTTCTTTACAATTAGGATCTCCTTTTCTCTATCTTTTGAAGTCCACAGCTTTCCTAGAGCTTCCTTTCTGGCCACACACATTTTAAAGTATTTTGCTAGGCTCTTTGCTTTTGATTTGCAACTTATATCTGGCTAAAAGCCACTAACAGTACCATACCACTGCTTCAACATTAGTCAGCCTTGAAATTTCTTCTACCCAGGATTTCTATCAGCATTCTGGTCTTCTAAGATCTGACCAGCATCTCCTGTACAGAATTGTCTAAGGCATTCTGGTTCTCCTTTTTCAGTCAGTATCTCCAAACCTTTCCAAACTCTTCCCACAAGCCATTCTCAGAGGCTCCTGACCCACATGGTCAGGTATAGTCACAGCAATGATCCTACTTCTCTGACACTAAATTCTGTCTTACTTATTTTTCTTATTGCTGAGACGGAATACCTAATAATGAAACTTAAAGGAGGAAAGGCTCACAGTTTGCAAAAGTTTCAGTCCATAATTGGCTGGTTCTAAGGCAGTGTGACATGGCAGAGGGGCAACCATTGATGGCATCAGAAAACAGCAAAAGCAACAAGAGAGAGGAAGGGAAGAGAGACAAGCCCCTCTCTTTCCCGTATATTATATGCAGGCTACCCATCCTGGGGGAGGTATAGCACTCATTCCCTTAGTCCCAGAGGACCATGAATTCAATCACAAGCTCTAGATTTATCTGCTCCTTAAAAATTCATACCCCATGACCACATGTGGCTTTGGAGGGACATCCAGACACAAACTGTAACAGCTGGTATTATTGAATTTGAATTTTAGTTTCTAGCATTTACCATTCTAGTTAATTTGTTATTTCTTTGGTACTAATGATGTTGAACATATATATTTGCCATTTGTCATCTTTGGTAGCATATCTATTCTTTTCCACATTTTTTCCAGTTTTGTGGGGGTAGTTCATTATGACTTGTAAGTATTCTTTATTATGAATATAATTCCTTTATGAACTAGGATATTTGCTTCTGTTCTCTGAGTTCATTTTAAAAGTTTTTCTTAGTGGTGTAGTGAAGATTTTAATTTTGAAACAATATACCAATTTTGTTCTTATTTGGATCTGCTATATAATTACACATGAAAAGGTCAGATGTGGTACATACTCATAATATCAGCACTCTGGGTAGTTTGAGGCTGGAGGATTGTAAGTTCAAGCCTAGGCAATTTAGTGAGTCCTGTATAACCAGCTTTTTATGTGTACTCTTGTCCTGAGGATGATGGAATGATGAAGTTAACAGACACAGAAATGGGAGACTCTTGGAGTACAGCTTATTAGAGAGAACAAAAGAAAGTTCATGCTAGCTGAGAGGGGCTCCAAGTCCAAGGTAGGAGCTTTGGAGGCACCCAGTTCAGGGGTGTAAGTGCAGCTATTTTGGTGTACGGATGAAAATGAAACAGTGAAATGTGTTTTTAGGCCTTTGATATTAGGAGAAAAGACTTCCTGTGCACCCAGCTTCCCACAGCATACCTCAAATAGCTTCTTTCCCTGGTGTTCCCCTTTTCCTGGGCGTTTATCTTGGTTTAGTCAAGTCTGTGTCCCAGCTGCCTAATATTTCTTTCTGGGTCTCACTGAGGATGCTGCTCAGTGTGAAGGCTTTGGGTTCAGGGTGTGTGCGCGCGTGCGCGCGCCCACCCACACATGCAGATGTGTGCATGCGTGTCTATGTGAGAATATCCCATCACAGTCTTTACCTCAGTGATCTCTTAATTTTCTTCTAAAAGTTTTATAGTTTTAGCTTTTGTATTTGTGATAATTTCTCATGATTTTTATGTATAAATTGAAGCAGAGTCAAAGTTAATTTTTTGGCATATCAATATCTTCTAGTACCACTCTTGGAAAGATTATCCTTCCCCCATTAAATTGCATAATTGCATTGGCATACTTGTTTAAAGTCAACTAACTATATATGAATCTGTTTCTGAATTTGTTCCTTTCATTGATTTACTTCCTTCCTTCCTTCTTTTTTTTTTTTTTTTTTTTTGCGGAAC